CTTTTGACCACAGCTGAGCCCAAATTTTCCATTGCTAAGTCAGAGAGTTGTTAAATGAATTTTGCCCCATTTTATGAGCTTGCTTGCCACAATTGTTAAGGGAATCACTGCAGTTGTTAAGTTAGACACATGGTCATTAAGTGAACCTGGCTTCTCCGTTGACTTTGCTTGTCAGAAGGTTGCAAAAAGGGATCACGTCATAAATAGGAGCCAGTTGCCAAGCATCTGAATTTTGATCACGTGACTGTGGGGATGCTGCAACAGTGGTAAGTGTGAAAAATCCTCATAATCTCCCCTTTGTTCAGTTCTGTTGTAACTTTGAACAGTCACTAAATGAACTGTTGTAAGTTGAGGACTATCTATATATGTTCTATCTAAACTGTAGAGTTTTTCTTATCTGTAATTTATTTTTCTTTGGGTAGATACAGAATCAGTTTACATCAGGGGTGTCAAATTCAATTTCATTGAGGGCCGCATCTGCATTGTGGTTGCCCTCGAGGGGCCGGGTGGTGTGGCTAGGGTGGGTGCAGCCTACTGGGTGGGCGTGTATGGAGTGGGTGTGACCTATTCAGTGGGCATGGCCAGCTCTACATCATTCACACCGGATATGTGAAGTAGGCGAGGGCCATTTGCTGGCCACTTCCAGGCGATGGTGCATTTCTTCATTCCTCACAAAGGGAATGAACCTCCCCAGCATGCACCCAGGGAGCGGGGTTGACACAGCAAGGGCTGGTTCCTCACTGTTTCTAGATAGCTTTGTGGAGCTAAGACTGAATGTGTTTCAGCGTAGATGGCCACCACAAAATTGTACATTGGCTCCCGGGTGGCCTGGGCCAGGGCCAAGGCAGCAGAGGGCCGTTCCCTCACTGTTTCCAGGATGGCTTCGCGGGCCACATGAAACCACTTTGCGGGCCGCATCAGGTCCCCGGGCCTTGTGTTTGACATGTCTGGTTTACATTGTCTGTTTTAGCTGTTAAAGCCAAATATGGCCTTTCAGATACATTTGAATGACAACTCCTACCACTCCCTGGGGTTGCCTTCCACTGCTGGTAATTCAGCAATATTAGTTTCTCAGAAAAATAATTTTAAAGGCTCTGCTATTATGCTTTCTCTCCTATCTAGTGCTAGTTAGCTTTTTAAATGAGTTCTCAAATAACATCTGTTTTTTATTTAGAAATGCATACAGGGTTATGTTTTATGCAGATGGCTCAAAGATTTCGCACCAATTTAATGCAATATACTTTAAACACTTGTGGATCTGTAGTGCTGAGATGTTGAAAGGCTATATTAAAATTGCTACTTAGGTATGGATGATCTTGGGCAGGCAATTGTTTTTCATTGATAGATGAAATATTCTAAATTCTACTTACAGAAAAAATAAGGCTACAGATAATATTTCAGGATAAAACTTATTTCAGTAATTCATAGCCAGTTGAATGAATGTTTGTAGAATAATTGTCTATATCATGTAAAGCCTGTTTCCCATCACCTCAAGTCAAATGGGAATTCACATATTGGCAGTGCTGATATTACAATAGCCTTTTCTGGCTTTCCAGTAACATAGTCAGCAAAATTCTTATTCTTATTATTCCAAGCTAGAATTTTGATTTTGTCTATCATACTAGGTTACTTCAGCGCGAACTGTGGTCAATGAAGTAATAATGCTGAATTGGTAAAAAAAAAAAAAAAAAAGGAAATATAAAGCAATGTGAAAGTGTTAAACATGCTATTGTGAGGACCAATTTCCAATCATCCTGGATTTGTGAAAGGTTTAGCTTCAGGGCATCCTCTCTCAAATGGAGGCTAAATAAACTATTGAGGTTTGTAATTCTTGTTGCAGTTATGGGATATAAGCTTAGAGGAAGAGATGTGGAAAGAGCAGTGAACTTCTGTGAATAGATGTAGAAGTAATAATACAATCAGCTGCAAGGAATTCTGGTAACTGATGTAGACAGCACTGAAAGAGAAGTTTTTGGCTTTACAATGACATACACAACTTGATCATGAAATGTGAAAAGCTAGAACTAAGGAATATTTTTAAAGCAGAAACTAAGTGTCCCAAACTGAATGTCTTAAGACTATGAATCAAGCTCATAGAAATGGCCACTTTTAACCAGGTTACCATCTTACATGATCTACCATTCACAGCATGAATCCATACAATGGAATAAGGAATAGAATATTGATGATCCTCAAAAGGCTGTGTGCTCAGCTAGAAACCAATGAACAATGGGATTGTATTTGTTAGATTTAATTCATGATATCTAGTGACATCAGTGTCATACAAATGCACGAGCCAACCACAGATGCTTTAGTGAAAGCAACAGAAATGTTATGACGAAATACAAGAAAAGCTAAATGCAGCATAAAGAAAAAAGTTAGTGGGTATTTGGAATGCAGAAACTGGAGAAATAGAGGAATCCTGAATTACTGGAAGATTTCAGTTATGTAAAATAATCATATTAAGTTTTGTAAACATAATTATTTTTTGCATCACTTGTTTGAAGCAGCATAAATGTATAGCACAGGACATAATCAAATGGGCAACACCAGAATATAAAAAATACATAATGAAAGATGGAGCACTGTAGCTCAGTCAGGTTATTTTACTTCCCAATACTGATTACAGAAACAATCATGAGTTATTGGTAGCAAATACATGGATTTAAATTTAAAAAATTAAAGAAACCATATATACTAACTGTTTATGACCAGGAGAAGACAAGTATATAACAGTAAAACAAAGAAGTTAGGAAATATTGCTGTATATCCTTAATTTTTCAGGCAAGGAAAGTGGGATAAAAGAAATAATTAGGCAGGTTTTAGAAAAAAATCTTTAGAAAATGTGGAGATTTACTCTTTGCATCAATGACTACAGCGAAGTCTGTGAGTTATATTAAGAAAATGGTATTCCAGAGCAACTGATTATTCTTCTGCAAAATCTTTACAATGAATAACAACAACAAACACTGAGACAACTTCAATTGGAGGCTGTGGTCCAGGATAATAAGATTATTTTGCTCAAGTGCACAATTGACTACAATTAAGATATTTGCAGCTAAAGCCTGAACTATGGCTATATAAGATCTGAACCTTGGGTGGGCACATTTCCAGGAGAGGAACCCAGGTCTTGGTTATGAAGATGCTGGACTGACATCCTCATACATGGTAAAGTGGGGGAAGATTTACTGCAAACTGAGTTGACATTCCAAAGCAGGAAAATAATCATGAACTTTGACAAGAACTTAAGAAAAAAGGAAAATCCATCGAGAACAAAGATCATAATAATTAAAGCAATGTTTTTTCCAGTAGTGATGTCTCACTGTGAAATTGAACATGGTGAAAGAACTTTTTTTTTATTATGTGTTTGGAGTCAGTAAAAATATTATGAAATTCATGAAGAACCAGCCAGTTTTAACGAACCAAAATGTACTGGTCCCTTGAATTGATGGACATGTGTACTTTGGACATACGATGTAAATGGTGAAGTAGAAACAAATGACTACACATGGTATAGTAAGTTGGAAAAAGTAAAAGAATGCAAATGTAAAATTTAAGGCAAGTGAAAGGATGGGGCAAAAAAAAAATCTGAAATTTTGAATTCTGAAAGCCTTTGAAGAGCTGTGAGCTCTTTTTGTAACCTTTATTCCTGAAAAGTTGATGAGCATTTGTCCGTACAATGACTAGAGAGTTGAACCTGACTTTTCAGTCAGTCCATAGATTTTAGTTGAAGTTAAAACAGATTTCCATTCTTATTCCCCCATTACCTTTCCTTCCCACACCACTTGCCAAATATGCTTGCTCTACTGACGGTAAGGCATCAGAGATAGACAACAATGGGAGGTGTACTGTCTATCTATAATATGTCCAGTGAGTTGCTGTGCAACTTGGTAATAACTGTAGTATCAGCCCTTGGGAATTCCAAGGGCTGCTTGCATCCTAACATGCTGCATAATAGTCGATAATGCCATAAAATAGGAAGGGTAAAGCATTAACAGAGACTAGCGATGACTGAGGAGAGAGTCAGACAACTGTCTTTTCCCTTCTTATTGACGCCAAGCTTATCCAGTAAGTGGGGAGAAAGATAGCATGTACGTGGATAAGTGTGGCTGACAGAGAAGAAAAGAGAACCTCTGGATTTTACTAAAGTTAAAAAGAAGAAAAAATGATTACCTCATATAACAGTTTTTTGACATTTCTGAATAGGCTGTAAGAAAAAATAAGTCTGCATTTCTTAAGGAAAGGTTTTCTGCAGTCTCTTTCGTGCATCTGATCTCTATTTGCGTATGCTTCCAAACCAGCAGATTGCCTGATGTGTGTATAGGTTAAAAAATAGTAGCACATTGCTGCGCTAATTATAACAGCCTCAAAACTGTCTTCGCAATAGGTGACAAATTTCTGAATGTTCCATGGAAAATGTCGCTTCCTTGTTTCATGTAATATGTAAAAGAAACAGATGCTGGCTATACAGCGAATGAATGTACAGTATCATTTATCAGAATAATTGCCAAATATTAAAACATCTTTCTTGCCAAAACTTGTATTTATCGGGGATCTATTTGAACTAATTAATAAAAGCAGTTATGAACTTTGGCTTCCATCTTGAGAGGTTTTAGTCAGTTTAGCCATTACGGGTGCAGCTTCACATGACAACTGAAAATAGGGGTGCCTTGCATCAGTACAAAACTCAGCCTAAGGCAAATGCTGCACACCAGATTTATTCATATTTATTCAGTGTACATTTTCAGACTACTTCCTAAGTCCTGAACAAGTGACAAGATCAATATGGGTATCTCACTACATGAGCAATTGCTTGGTACTTTGGAATTCCTGACAATGATTTTGTTTTCATGTCCTGCTCTTGAATGTTGTTGTGTGTTGTGTGGAGTATTAATTCTTTAAAAATGTTTACTGTATAAACATTCTGTTTATTATTTAGTCCCTTGTTTTCATTAAACAGCAGGGCATAAAAGTTTCCAAAAATCTTTCTTTCTTTACAGAGCTTGTGTCATCTTGGGCGTGATATTTCTTCTGTCCTCTTTATGTATAGTGATCAAAGCCATCCATGACCTTGCAACTAAGTTGCTTCCAGAAGTGGTAAGATCTTTTTTTTTTTTAAACAAACCCTAAATTTCAGTGTTTCAGTAAAAAAGCTTGTTATGCAACTGCATGTACTCTTTTGTAGCTTTGCATAGTTCTGTGGAATTGTATACAAATTGCAAGGTTATGTTTTATAGTTTCACACAGTGTGATGTCAGTTTTATCTTTATTATTTCCTTTTGTATTAATATGCCAAATCCATTCACTTCTAGAAATCAGACATTTCAGAAAATGTGCTGTGGCCAACAGTTGGCCCAGGAGTAGTTAGCACTGGAGAAATGTTAAGAAATTGGAATTTGCTCAGATTTCCTGAGCAGTAATCTGTGCAGTATATATTGAGGAAATTTTGTAACGGTATAGTACAAGGTTATTCAGAATTTTTGCAACAATAGGAAATAAGTGGTGCTCTTGTGCCTAAGATTCTAGAGTACTCTAGAAATTACTTACTATATTGTAGCTAAACGTTGTTACAAAAGTACTGTTCTTTTGAGGTTCTACAGGCTTAGAGCTGTTTAAAGTGAAATTTTATTCTCCTAAATCTTATTTTATGTAGAACCAAGATTGTATTTATTATTATTGTTCATTGCATATTAAGCCATATATTTAGGCTAGATTTGGCATTTTTTATCCATCTATTGAGTCCTTCCCAAGGACCCGAGATAGCCAGATGTTGCTGTTCGATGGTATTAAAGATGTTGCAAGATGTAAACTATTCCAAGTAGAGCTGCCTTTTGCAATTTGGTTGTGATTTTATTCAGTGTTGTTATTATCAGATTTAGATTAGATATCTTGCATTTCTTATATGTAACCCATGATGACAACCATTCCTAATACTCCTGTCTATTTTCTTCATAACAAGAATCCTATGAGGGGGGTTGGAATGAGAGAGAGTGACCGGCCAAAGTCAACCAGCCAGCTTTTGTGCTTAAATGAGGCCTAAAATCTTCTGGTTTTACATATGGATTATTTATATAGTGTTGTCTAAGAATTATGTCTAGAAGAAAATCAACTAAAATCCAGTAGTACCATGTTTCCCCTGAAAGTAAGGCCTACCCCAAAAATAAGCCCTAGCTTGATTTTTTTTGGTGGGCCTAATATAAGCCCTGCCCCCAAAATAACTCCTAGTTTTGGGGTGAAGCACACACCTAAAAATCAAGCTGGGGTGGGAGTGTGGAGCTGCCCCATGCGCCCCGCACCCACTTACCTTGCAGCCAGGCCTCTCCTCGCCGGCCCAGCTCTTCTTCTGCGGCCTCTTCTGCAGCCAGACCTGCATTTTTCAGTCACAGGCCTTTCCAGTAGGCCTATGCAGCCAAGATCCGGGCTATGGATTCAATCCATAGCTCAGTTCTGCAAGACCTCTGCAGCCGAGGACCGAGCTATGGATTGAATCCATAGCTCCATACTCAACTGCATAGGCCTTCAGGAAAGGCCTGACTGTCAAATGCAGGCTGGAATGCAGCTGCAGAATGAAGCTGCTCCTTCGGCTCCAGAAGAAGCGAACTTGCTGGGCGGGGCTGTCGGTGCCGGAGGTGAGCGAGACTCCCCCAAAAATAAGACCTGGTGCCTCTTTTGGAGGCAAAAAAATAAGAAAAAAATAAGACCCTGTCTTAGTTTTGGGAGAACACGGGTAATAATGACACAAAGGATTTTACCTTGGTAGATTTCTTAACTATCTTTCTTTGTAGAATCATTTTATAAAGCTTGGTATGAAAATTTAATAGCATGACTTCCATTTTCAATCATGTGGTTTTGGCAAAAACGTTCTAATACAAAACTTTCATGTTCTGATAAGAATACAACATTTAATTCATGGGGCAGAGCAAAGTAATAATAGAACTATGATTTAAGGATATTATGGTTTATTCAGTTTTAATGTATTTAATGTATTTATATTTTAATGTACTTAATGTATTTATATTTTAATGTATTTAATGTATTTATAATAATTCATATTTTTAAGGCCACACAATCCATAGTTAAGCAAATGTAGCAAATAACATGTCAATCATAACGGTGTTTTTGCATTTGCCCTGCTTCATTAGACTTATCTCTTACAGATAGTCCTTGACTTACAACCAATTATTTAGTGACCATTCAAAGTTACAATCGCACTGGAAAAAACGACTTATAACCTTTATTTACATGATAGTTGCAGCATCCCCATGGTCACATGATCAAAATTCAGACGCTTGGCAACTGAATAACAGAGTTGGAAGGTATTCTAACTTGGACGTCTTCTAATCCAGCCCCCTGCTCAGGCAGGAGACCCTATGCCATTTCAGATAAATGGTTGTCCAATCTCTTCTTAAAAACTTCCAGTGTTGGAGCATTTACAACTTCTGGAGGCAGGTTGTTCCACTGATTAATTGTTCTGTCAGGAAATTTCTCCTTAGTTCTAAATTGCTCCTCTCCTTGATTAGTTTCCCTCCATTGCTTCTTGTCCTGCTTTGAAGAATAGCTTGACTCCCTCTTCTTTGTGACAACCCCTGAGATATTGGAATACTGCTGTCATATTACCTCATGTCACTGACTTGTATTTATGATGGTTGCAGTCTCCCAGGGTTATGTGATCATTTTTTGTGACCCTCTGACAAGCAAAGGCAATGGGGAAGCCAGATTCACTTAACAACCATGATACTAACTTAACAACTGTAGTGATTCACTTAACAACTGCGGCAAGAAAGTTGTAAAATGGGGTAAAACTCACTTAACAACTGTCTTGCTTAGCAATGGAAATTTTGGGCTCAATTGTAATTGTAAGTCAAGGACTATCTGTAATAACAAATAAATAGATTGAGAAAGGAATGGGAGTGAACACTCCTAGTTCCTAGACTTTTCTTCTGGTGAAACTTCTCTGAAATTTCTTCAGCTACAGGAGTAGAAGATCTGCTTTAATTGCCTTCACAAAAATCTCTTCTAACTGTAAGAGTATGAAAAAGAATACTCTTTGAGATATATAGTAGATAATTCAAGTCATTTGTTTCAGAATGCATTTTGTCAGCTTCCAATTTTGAGTCATTCATTGTATGTCTAATGTACTCCAGTATTTTTAAGAATATTGAATCACAGTTTGAAACCCTCAGATTAAAATGCTTGATTTGACATGATGACTTGCCTATTTTCAAAGGTTCTAGGCAGTAGACCGTATCTCTGCAATTAAAGCCCGTTAGAAGAGGCATGAAAAACAAACTTACTCTTCAAATTAGTTTTTTTTTTACGAGTTCATGTTTTCCTGTCACATGTATTCTACTTTCCTATGTAAAGCAAGCTTGATCAGATTTGACAAGGACACATGAAGAAGCTGTGATTTGATTCAAGTTTGTGATCCAAGATTCAGTGGCAAGCCAATTTGATTTGAACTATTTTGATATTTGAGATTCTGTTAAAAAGGATTTGTCTGCGTAGGTTATAATGGAAAAACCACAAAATGCCTGAAACTGTCTTCCTTTTGGGGCAAGTTTAGACAACTTTAAAATTTCAGTGACATACTTTTAGAAGTTTTACCACAAAACATTCTTGAAGCTGGTCCTTTAGCAAGGATGATAAAAGGCTAACAAAACAGTCTCTAAATTGTCTGGGTAGCAGTTGTAAGATAGCAGAATAATATAACAGTGCCAGAGAAATAGGCAAGTCATACAAAAGGACTTTGGGCAAGAAAATAGCCTTGCTATCCCATATCTCCAAAAGCAGTAAAAATGTTGGGCGGTGCCTGTAAATGTTACCATAGCCTGGCAATCATTCACTTCAATTTTCCCCAGTTGTGCAGGATTAAACAATTAGATTTGACTAAATCAGTAATTACAGTATCTGCATATTGCATGCAGTTTTAATATGCTTGGATCCTGCCTTCATTCCCGTAGGGAACAAAACAAATCCTATATGTATTTCATCTGCTGCTAAAACAAAGGAGAACACATCTATTCATGAAAAGACATTTTGATATGATTATTTGTGCATGATGTTTATTTACTTATTTACTTACAAGATTTATTTGGCCACATGTCTGACATGATGACTCTAAGTAGCTCACAACAACCATAAAAATATAGCTAAAAAGAAAAGTACCCTCCACTTGAAGGCCTTCAAGAGGAGCCCTCTAACAAATGTCCCTCTAAGTCAGGGGTGTCAAACTGCCGGCCCGTGTCATGAGGAAACCACACCCAGCAATGGGGAAAAAGTTCCTATACGTTGCGTGACGTCATGAGTTTGACATGTTTGCTCTAAGTCAAGAGAGAAGTATACCAAATGTGAGAGCTTGAGGAAAGAATTGGTGGAGTGCTAAGAATACAAGAATGAAGATCAGTGGACAGGAATCTGTAATTATGACATTTTGTGCAAGTGGCACAGTTATCTGACTGTCTGAAATTCATATATTCATTATTATATGAATTGTCCTAAGATTTATAAATAAATAAATAAAATAAGATTTTATTTGGGAATAAAATATGATTAAAATGGTCCATCTTTTTAAAAAAATACAATTTTGAGCCTTCTTTTTAGTACCAAGTAAATAGTTCAGAAAGTCATCTAATGCAGAGGTCCACAACTTTTTGGGCACCAGGGACCAGTTCCGTGGAGAGAGGTTTTTCTGCGGACCGGAGGGGACGTGGTTTTGTGTGCTGCCTGCATCCCACGGGTGAGGCTTTGCTTGTTTGTGTGGACCGGTTGCTGATGTGCCGTGGCCTGGTACCAGTCCACAGACCGGGGGTTGGAGACCCCTGATTTAATGAATATACTTGTTTATTTACGTTTCTGTGTCATTCCAATAAATCAGACTCTGAGAAGTATACAATTTTTATATTTATATGAAAAATGTTATTAATTATAATTTTATTACATTTATGTGGAGGGTGTTTCTAGGTATTTTGTTAAGTCAGATTTCAGTATAAGGGAGAAAATTGATTTATATGTTCACAATAAAAGGAGTGACTTCACCGTCTAAGGTGGTAGTCGTTCGTCAGAAGTTTTCTATGAGTTTAGTATTCGGTATGTCCTGA